TAAATTCTGAAATTTCTAACAGCAATAAATTTGATAATATGAAAGAATAAAACAATAAGAAATAGCTAATAAAAAGTTTGGAAAAATATTTGAACCAAAGAGGATCATCATTTATCCTAAATGAATAGTTCATACAAGTTAATAGCACCTATATAAGATCATAATACACAAATATGTGAATGACATGACCAGAGAGTTCACATTGTGTGAGGAAGTAAATATGGACAGATTTTTCCATCTTATTTGTAATCAAGTGCAAATTAAATGAGGTACCAGTTTATCTCATTACCTATCAAAGTGGAAAATATGTTACTGATGAACATTTCTAACAAGATTGTTTTGGAACCTAATACCCTCATAAAATGCCGGTGACATCCTAAATTAATATTACTGTAAAAACATTTGTCTCGGGGCTGGGGTTGTGTCTCAGAGGTAGAGCACTCGCCTACCATGCGTGAGGTACCACGTTCGATCCTCAGCACCACATAAAAATATTGTGTCCACCTATGACTAAAAATGAATATTTAAAAAAAATTTGTCTCAACCAATGAAAATTTTCATAACCTTTGACCTATACAAGGACACTTATATTATGAAAAAAGTCTGAAATAAAGAGGTCATAAGGGCAATTATTCTAGTTAAAAATATTAGAAACAGGCCAGGTGTAGTGGTGCACACCTGTAATCCCAGCAGCTAGAGAGGAGGCAGGAGGATCTCGAGTTCAAAGCCAGCCTCAGCAAAAGTGAGGCACTAAGCAACTCAGTGAGACCCTATCTCTTAATAAAATACAAAATAGGGCTGGGGATGTGGCTTAGTATTTAAGTGCCCCTGAGTTCAATCCCTGGTACCCCCCTCCCAAAATTAGAAACAACCTCTATATTGAAGTTTAAGGGTTTTGAAAATTAAGCAACATAGAAAAATGAGGATTTATATAGCATTGAGAATAACAGACCACAAAACTGTATACATTGTGAAAAAATACATGTGGAGAATATCTGACGTAATACGAAAAAAAATCCAAGAACAATGGGATTATAAACAAATTCTTTACTTTTGAAAATGTCAGGGCTGGGGGGCTGGAGCTCAGCAGTAGCACACTTGCCTGGCATGTGTGAGGCACTGGGTTTGATTCTCAGCACTGCATATAAATAAATAAAATAAAGATCTATCAACAACAACTAAAAGAATGTTAAAAAAAAAAAAAAAGGGCTGGGGTTGTGGTTCAGTGATAGAGCACTTGCCTAGCATTTGTGAGGCACTGGGTTCGATCCTCAGCACCATATATAAATAAATTAATAAAATAAAGGTATTTTGCCATCTACAACTAAAAAATATATATATATAAATATATATATATATATATATATTTATACATATAAATAAATATATATATTTATTTATTAAAATATATATATATTTTAATAAAAGAAAATGTGTCCTTCCCTGGCTGGAAAGAAATTCACCAACATGCGAAGTACAATTAGTTGTGTTGAGGTATCAAGTCTGGGATGACTTTCCTTCTCTGTTCCGTAACGTGGTTATATGGCTTTTGAGATGAAAGAGGCAAAATTCAAATATTTTCTAAAAGGTTAGGTTTATTTGTACATGAAATAATATGGGTGGGAAATTGTAAGAGCTTAACTATAGCCTTGACAGGGCAGAGGTAAACCTCCTGAAAGCCATTATGACCAAAGCATTGGATATTTATTCATCTAAGTGTCGCCTCTGTTCTCAGGCTAGTGCCAATCACAGTGATGGATGGGGAGAAGTTCCTCTCACCTCAAAGACATTATAATCCCATGGGCAGGACAAGACAGACCCACACAGCAATGGGATAGGTGGCTCCAGTTATGCACAGAGCAGAAGGCCGGAGAAGCCTCCTGCAGGAGGACGGAGGAAGGACAGACAACTTGGGCTTAGCCTCAGAACGGCTGGGATCAGAGTGGCTGGGATTCTCAGGCAGGAGAAATGAGTGTTTCTATTGGTTAACTTGTCTATAATCAAGTGAGGAGTCCTCCCCAGGAGCAGAAGAGAAAGCAGCGTCTCAGTTAGCCTGGGTCACTGAAACCATCCTGGGCACCCCAGGAGGCCAGGCCCAGGGCAGTGAACCTGCCTCTGGTCTTCGTTGCTTTCTCCCACGCAGACAGAGTTCAGTAAGGCCCACCGGCCCAGGCCCCCAGCACAGAAGATTCAACATAGGCTCTTGGCCACAGACTTCGCTTGGGTATGAGACCACAGCCCAGGAAGCAAGAATCTCTGTGTTTTTAAAATAAACAACCTACTTCTACTTCCCCTCAACCCCCTGCCTATATTCCCCTCTTGGGTCGCTCACCCACTGTTCTTTTTCACCTGGTGGTTTCTTCGCTGTTCATCTCTAGCTTTCAGGATCACTCATACTCTCTGAGCCCCAGACTGAGATGCGCCCATGGAAAGTGAATTCCAGCAGCACTGGGCCTCCCCCTGATTATCGGGGTTCCTCTGTGCTGGCTTTCCAGGGAAGGAGGCTGCAGCCCCCTTAGACCACCCAGGATGTGGGCACTGCTCACCAGACATGTGATCAAACATTAGAAAAACTGTTCTGAATCTTCAGCAAGCTCCTCAGACTTCTCCCCTCACGGGGAGAGGGAGGGTGTTCCCAGGAAACCCAAGCTTGGAAGTGGCAATGCCCATGGAGGGACAGACCTGTAAGCCATTTACTCATTCCTTGGCCTCTTCTGTTTCCTGACTTCTCCAGTTTGTAATTGGTGTGGGAGAAAAAAATTCTTCACACAAACAGCCTAGAAGCATGCTCAACCCTCCATGGACTCTGGAACCATTTTCTAATTCCCTGGCTGGGAATCTCCATATACCAGCAGGACTTTGACCTAGGGTGGCCATATGTCCCTGTTTGCCAAGAACAGTCCTGGTTTATGACCAAGCTAATTATGATAGTACCTCTTTCACTCTCAGAAACATCTTGTTTTGGATAGTTAAATCTGTTTCATCAGGCCACCTCAAATCCACATGGAGCTGGGCACAGTGGCACATGCCTGTAATCACAAGGGCTCTGGAGGCTGGGACAAGAGGATTGCAAGTTCAAAGCCAGCCTCAGCAACTTAGTGAGGCCCTAAGCAACTTAGCAAGACCCTGTCTCTAAATATATAAAGGGCTGGGGATGTGGTCCAGTGTTAAGTGCCCCTGCATTCAATCCCCAGTACCCCCTCCCCTAAAAAAAACCCACATAACCCTGAACACATTACAGACATGCTCCTTCTCTGTTTTTGACTTCAGTTAAGGGGACAACATCCACACAATCCTCCAGCAGAGGAATCTCAGGCCTATCTTAGTTCCTCTCTGTGGACACCTATGATGTTACAACTCTCTCGAATGGATCCTCTCCTTTCTGCCCTGTCACTAACCTATTTCAGACACAATTAAAACAGCCTCTTTGGCCATCTCCCTGGCTTGGGGCTCCCTCCTCTCCAACCCACAGTTCTGCCAGTGATCTTTTCAAAACACACTGAGATCTGATGGTGCTCCACCACCTACAGAATGACATCCAAACCCCTTCATGATCTGGACCCAGTGACCTTGTCTGCTTCATCCCTTGCCACCCTCCTCCTTTCTGGGCTCCGGTCACACTTAGACTTGTGTCACGGCTTGTGCCGTGAAAAGTTCATGTTCCTGCTTGCCTCAGAATGCTTGTTCCTTTTACTCCCTCTGTCTAGTCTGGCCTTTCCTCTCTTTTCTGTTGCTATTTTTGGCTGTCATTCCTAGAACTGACCTCACCGTTTTGTCTCCCAGGAAGCCTTTTCCGGTTTTCTCCTCCCACCATAAGTAACTGCTTATGAATCCCGCTCTGAATTCTAAGTGGATTGTTTTTAACATGTACTACAGTTTGCTGGCAGTCTGGCCACTGCTCAAGGGTCTGCCCTGCCTCAGCAATGACTCTGTAAAGTTATGAGTGGCATCGTAACACTACTGCTACTTCACTGTTAATGGGATGGACTCAAATAAAACTCATAATCCACTTTGAAATTTTTAACACCAGGTTGATCACTGCATAAGTCACTCATTGCAGGTCACAGTGGGAGTGACTCTGGGAGGACACACCACTGCAAGAGTTTCAACACAGCATCTAGAGGGAGGGACGTCTGTTTAGAAGAATTCAGGTATCACGAATGCACCCTCCTTAAGAAGAAGGAACATGTTCCAATCAGGGTCAGACTTTATGCCCATCCTTCTCCATGACTCCTTCCCTCTCTTTCAGTCCAGAAGGGATCTTGTTCCTTCCAAGCTCCCATCTCATAATTTAGGACAACAAATCTGATATTTTGTTAGTTGCCACCTGGTGTCATCTTTTGCACTGAAATTATAGTGTTGACTTAATAGGTGGATTTTACAGAATGGAGGAATGTGGGGAAAAGCTAGATTTGAATACCAGACTCTGTCCCTTTTTCCTCTGTGGCTTAATACCCTTCTACATGGCTCTGTAAGGATTGGATTTGGACAGAAAAGCCACCAGAGTTAAGAAACTTAGCCCTCCCTCTCAGCAGGCTTACAATAGTCCAAGAGCTCTGCTGGCTAATTCCTGTTCAGGAGCTAGACCCCCAAGGACAAGCTCCCCGTTCCTCTAGATCCACTGTGTACCCAATAGCAGGGACCCCTTTTTTTAGAAAACAGGTGAATGAGAGGGGGCTATAAAAGCCGCAACCAAGGTTCTGTCTCTTTACCTCTAGATGCAAAGTAACAGCAAGGGGAGGCAGGATGGAGGGAAGAACAGACGAAGATTCCAATGTACTTACCACCTCTTGCAAACTGACATTAGACCCTCCTCATCAGATAACAAACCGATTTAACAAACTGAGTGATTAATAGAGGAAGCGATGGGCCACCTCGCCCTGGGAGGCCGCACAGTTCTCCCAGTCCTGAGGACTTTTCCTTGTAGAGCCAGCTATGGAACCCCCTCTGTCCTTCTCTGCCCTTCCCCAACTCAGAGGCCACCATCTGTACCACAGGAGCCTGCCCCTCCCTGCTCACACCCTCCCTCCCCACCTTCCTGCCCACCCATTCGCCTCACCTCCATCTGGGGTGGCAGGAAGGGAGGTGCTGGGCACCGGCCGTGAAGAGCCAACCCCCTGCTGCTCAGAGCGACTGCGGCCTGTACGGAGCGAGGCCTGGGACCACGCAGGTCTCAAGGCCAGGCCATGAACGCCACTGAGGCCTGGAGCCCCAGCCCGGATGTGGTGTCCTGGGACTACTCCGGGTCGGGCGCCCTGGAGGAGCTGGAGTTGTGCCCTTCCTGGGACCTGCCCTACGGCTACGCCTACATCCCTGCGCTCTACCTGGCGGCTTTCGCAGTGGGCCTGGTGGGCAACACCTTCGTGGTGTGGCTGCTGGCCGGGCGGCGTGGGCCGCGGCGGCTGGTGGACACCTTCGTGCTGCACCTGGCCGCCGCGGACCTGGGCTTCGTGTTCACCCTGCCACTGTGGGCGGCGGCGGCGGCGCGCGGAGGCCACTGGCCCTTCGGCGAAGGCCTCTGCAAGCTCAGCAGCTTCGCGCTGGCCTGCACGCGCTGCGCAGGCGCGCTACTGCTGGCCGGCATGAGCGTGGATCGCTACCTGGCCGTGGTGAAGCTGCTTGAGGCGCGGCCGCTGCGCACCCCGCGCTGCGTGCTGGCTGCGTGCTGCAGCGTTTGGACCGTGGCGCTTCTGGCCGGCCTGCCCTCCCTGGTCTACCGAAGGTTGCAGCCCCTTCCCGCGGGCCCCGGCAGCCAGTGCGGGGAGGAGCCCTCCGACGTCTTCCAGGGCCTCAGCCTGCTGCTGCTGCTGCTCACCTTCGTGCTGCCCCTGGTCGTCACTCTCTTCTGCTACTGCCGAATCACGAGCCGCCTGCGCAGGCAGCCACACGTGGGCCGGGCCCGGAGGAACTCGCTGCGCATCATCTTCGCCATCGAGAGCACCTTCGTCGGCTCCTGGCTGCCTTTCAGCGCCCTGCGAGCCATCTTCCACCTGGCGCGTCTGGGGGCACTGCCACTTCCCTGCCCTCTGCTGCTGGCGCTGCGCTGGGGTCTCACCATCGCCACCTGCCTGGCTTTCGTCAACAGCTGCGCGAACCCGGTCATCTACCTCCTGCTGGACCGCTCCTTCCGCGCCCAGCTGCCGCACGGGGCCTGCGGGAGGGCAGGTCGCCAAGTGCGCAGGATCAGCTCGGCCTCCTCTCTCTCCAAGGATGACAGCTCAGTGTTCTGGGGCCGTCCCCACACCCCGAACATTGCCCCGGCCTCCTGGTAGCTTCTCCAGGCGAGCGGAGATGGGCAGCAGCGGAGCACTGACTGCACAGGGGGCCAGACTCGGCTCTCCCGACATGCCCGTTTTGGCCGCAGCAGGCTGCTCCAGCCACCACTGCCTCCTGAGCTGCCCGTCTCCTGCATCAGCTTTCGCAGAACCTCATAGGGGTGACCGAATTCCTCCAAACCAGGCAGCTGAGGCCCGGTGTTCTTTCTGCCGGGTGGAAACCTGGGCTAATTTTTTTCCAGTCCAAGAAAGGTCCCATGAGATTCAGTAGACAGCAACTTGGAGACCCACGGATTTACCGGAGAGAAGGGAAGTGGGTTTCCTTCCCGGCCCATTCAGAATAGCAGTCACCAGAATATCTAGTGCTGACGCCCAGCTCTCTGGTCATGTTTTCTCTGGTCCCCTAGAATAGCCTTTGCCTTCTGAGAAATTTCTTCTGCAAGTCAGACTGCCTGGCCCTCTCACTCTTAAAAAAATAAAAAATAAATTAAAAAATAAATAAAATTCTAAAGAACATGAGAATTGACAGCCCTTTTGTACTCTATCATCTTTATGACTGTGTTGGCTGTATCATTAATCATCACCAATTCAGATTTTCATCTTAAAAGCTTACCAAGGGCTGAGGTTATAGCTCAGTGGTAGAGCACTTGCTTAGCATGTGTGAGGCATTAGGTTCGATTCTCAGAACCACATATAAAATAAATAAACAAAGGTTCACTGACAATTATATAGAAAAACAAAACAAAAAACAACTCACTAAAGATGTGGGAACCAGCCCCAGTGTAAGCTACCCAATTTATTTTTTCTGATAGACTCCCAGGGGTGACACCCTGCCCTGGTTTTGTATCTAGTGACCCTTCTCCCCTCCCTGGCAAAGCTGTAGGACTTACCCTGAAATCCATCTGGCCTTCCCTCTGGATAGAAGGATCTGACATCTCTCACCAGTTCTTCAGATTCCCCCTCATTTAGCCACGAACCCCAGATTTTTCTATGGGACTTCACCTTTCTCAATAAACACTTTTGCCTAACCCTGGCTTGACAATGTGTCTTTACTTGAGCAGTGGGACTGAAATGAGTGTCAGGAGGCGGGTCACCAATTCAGACAAAACTCAACTCAGTAGTTGAGAGTGACTTCAGGGGGACAAGTATTTTGTGTGCCGTCGGGACCATGAGAGCTAGCTGCACTTGTGTGTGCAAATTGTTTATTCTCATTATTTTTAAGGACAGTTCACATTTTGAAAGTAACAGAATGTTTAAAAACGTGTAAGAGAATGTACCTGTCAGGTCACTGTGTCTGTCTTTCAAAGATATGTGATTTTGATTTTCAAATGCATATTGGATCTTTTCTCCTACCCTTCAGGAGACCTCCCAGTAAAATGGTCTGGAATTAGCTGTTTACAGACTCTGATTTATCTTTTGAGGTTTCTAGAGGGTTTTAATTTTCTCTTTACGCTTTTGATGTAAGAAGATTTGGCTTAAAGAGATTTCCTCAGTGCAGGGAGAGGGACTCAGTGCTGCTGCTCTTCTTTGGAACCACATCCTAGCCAGATCCCCACAAGGCCAGTCTTGAAGGACAGGACACTGGGAAGTGGTACTCAGATCAGCTCTTCAGCGCCTGGTTGGGTCTGATGCCTGGCATTTTTTTCTCAGTCTGTTTAATCCCACCTCCAACACTACCCATTTAATACCATAACTGCATTCTCTTCAGCATTTGGGATATGTTGGGTTGGAGCAGGTTAAACATCATAGCCCACCTTGACCTTACCTGTCTGCTGCTCCTAAGTCAAGCTGAAAAGTGCATCTATGCTTGCTTCTCCCATACAGCCTGCAAGGGAAGCCATGCAACTGGGGTCACTGTGCCAGCAAGATGTATTACAGACACTTTCATGTTTGGGAGTTTGGTAATATCATGGCCCTTCCTATCCTCGCCGTTGCTCCCTGTGGTAGGAAGTTACTCCCTTTTCCAATGGCAGAGGCCCCTGAACTTCCAGAACAAGGAAGCTGACTCTTATCTGGGAGTGTGTGGCCAAGTCTCAGCTTACAGAAAAGGCTCTATACTTGGCTGTTGGGATCAATCCCCACCTCTCTATCTGTCAAGTTCTCCCTAAACTATTGGTACACCCTGAAGACACAGAGGAAGAAGACTCCTCCCTACCCCAGAGGGTTTTCGTGTCCCTGAAGCAGTAATTATTGAAACTCAGCATTTCCCTCCACCATAGAACTATGAGATGTGGAGAGAAATTCACTCCCTTTGCATAGATCACTGACGTGGTTTATTATGTGTTCCTTGGAAATGTGTTATATACCAACATGTTCTCCAGATGAGAATGAGCTCCTATTTCCCACTGGAAAAGATAAGGAACAAAAATGCAGGAACTGGCTAAACGAGCACTCTCTCCTATTTTGCTGGTGGCAGTACAAAGAGATTCTTTCAGAAAGCAAATGACAGTCCTATCGTCTCCCCCACGACTGTTGATGTTCTTTCACTCTGCCACTCCTCTAATGCAATAATACTAAATAGTAAAAAATTAATGCACTAAGGTAGAGAAGTTTCTTTTTAAAGACTTTAACCTGGAAGGTAACATTCTAAATATCCAACAACAGTGCTGTATCTGCTGGGCACAGTGGCACACACCTCTACTCCCAGGGGCTCAGGAGGATGAAGCAGGAGGATCGCGAGTTCAAAGCCAGCCTCAGCAAAGACGAGGTGCTAAGCAACTCAATGAGACCCCGTCTCTAATAAAATTCAAAATTGGGCTGGGGATGTGGCTCAGTGGTTGAGTGCCCCTGAGTTCAATCCCTGGTATCTAAAAACTAAAGAGTGCTATATCTTCATGAATATGATAGAGTATTATGTGAATTTTAAAATGTTATTTAAAGAGAGGTTAGAAAATGTTGATGAATTAAAAGGTAAAATTACATGTTAAATACATTCACACATGTCAAATCTAGAGGTTATAAAATTGTTAACACTGGTTTTGTTAAAGGAAAATATTACATGGTCCTTTTGATAAAAACTATCTTTTGATCTTTTCTTTCTCATCTCTCAAGTTTAAACATCATAAGTGTAGTTTTTTTCTCTTAGTGCTCAGTCATGGAGTGCTATATGTTTTTATTTTACTTATTTTTATTTTTTGGTACCAGGGATTGAACCCAGAGGTCACTGAGCCACCTCTCCTCCAGCCCTTTTTTGTATTTTATTAGAGATGGGGTCTCACTGGGTTGCTTAGCACCTTGCTACGTTGCTGAGGCTGGCTTTGAACATGTGATCCTTCTGCCTCAGCCTCCTGAGTTGCTGGGATTACAGGTGTGCCCCACTGCACCTGGTTATATGTTTTATTTTTGTGTTGATTGTTTGTCTTGCAGCAGAACAGAGGCTCCATGAGTATGTGAAACAGTGGCTGCTTTGCATCAGGCCGAAGCCATCTGGTGAGATGATGTGATGGAATGTGAAGAGTAGAAGAAAGGAGGTGGCGTTTTATGTGTGCTATAACAGCTATGCCTCAGAGAAGGGCACAAAAGCAAGGCTACCCGGAAATACAATAAATGTGATCATAATTATGTTAGAGTAAGAGCATTATGATCCTTTCCCCATTCATTTCTTTATTTTCAAAATTTTCTATAAGCATTTTTTAGGGAGGGTACTGGGGGTTGAACCTAGGGATGCTTAACCACTGAGCCACATCCCCAGCCCCTTTTTTCATATTGTATTGCAGACAGGGTCTCGCTAAGTTGCTAAGTGCTGGCTAAATTGCTGAGACTGGCTTTGTACTTGCGACCCCTCTGCCTCAGCCTCCTGAACCGCTGGGATTACAGGCCTGTGCCACCGCACCTGGCTCTATAAGCATTTTTTGAGTGCAGTTAACAAATAACAAAACTGCTAAAGCACAGGAGCCAGAGCAGTCCTGGGTCCGGGCTTCCACTCTGCCACCACAAGCTGCCTGTCCCAGCGTATCCCTCAGCCTCCCGAACTTCATTGTCTTCACCTGAAGAATCGGGTTGATAAAACCCGCTCCAGCTCCCTCACAGATCAAAGATGCTCATGTTGTTGAAAGCACTGGGTAAGCGGAGGGGTTTTAGACAAACCACCCCGAGGTTGGACTCAGGAGGGGAGTGTCCCAGGCCACCCTTCCCATCCATGGAGGGGAGGCGAGGGGAGCTGTTGTAGGTTCTGAAAGGTCAGCATCTGGGCAAAGGCTGGCACAAGGGCTGTGTGGGTCTCTGCTTTGCTGCTTGTGACTAATTTTGAGCCTTCTCCTAACCTCTCTCGACCCCGTGGGTCTGTTCTCAGGGCACAGTGTGGGAACCATGGCCCGCGGGGCTGATGAGTGATCTGGGGAGTTCAAGAGGCTGGCAGGGTTCGGGGAACGGGAGGCACTTGGTGAAGTGTGATATGACTCAGCCCCCATCCCCACGCTGGGGGCACCCTGGACACTCATGAGGACATCTTGCTTGTGAGAGCTCATCAGGACTAAGTCACTGTCCTGTCCTGCCTTGGGTGAGTGGCCTTCAGGAAGCTTCTTGTACCACCCCCACACACACCAGCCTCAGTCAAATAGGGCACATGATGACAAGACCAGGAAATACTGGTCTGAAATACAGGAAATACAGGTAACTGAAAGAAAAGGAGAAAGCCACGATATGAAATCACTCTTCCTCTTCATTATCTTCACAATCAAAAAGTACTTATTGAGTTTGTGATTATATCTTCTGAGATTTATATTTACATATGTCACAGGGATGCAGAGCTAGAAGTTTGTTTTGTCCATTCTAAGAGTAAGGACACTGTGGGAAGCGGTGGCACACGCCTGTAATCCCAGCGATGAGGGAGCAGCATCTCAAGTTCAAGGTCAGTAACTTAGTGAGACCCTGTCTCAAAAGTAAAACAAAGGGCTGGGGATACAACTCAGTTGGTAGAGTGCTTGCCTCACATGCACAAGGCCCTGGGTTCCATCCCCAGCGTCAAAAAATAAAATAAAATAAAGTAAAATAAAATAAAAATTTTAAAAAGGACTGGCAATGTATTTCAGCAGTAGGACCCCCCCAGGACTGAAAAAATGAAAAGAAAGGAAGAGAGAAAAACAAAGAAAAAGAAATTACTAAATGTTCTTTTTAGGGAAGTTACCTGTGTTACCTGTCTGAGGTATTAATAACAACCATTTCTTACCATATAGCACTTTGCAGATTTTTAAAAAGCACATACGGGTGTTTCATGATTCTCATGACCCTCAGGTGAGCAGGAGCGATTAGCTTCACTTTATTGCTGATGACAGAGACTCGGAAAGTAGCATGGGTATGTTCATAGACCCAACAGCAGAGCTCAGACCCAGGTGTTCCTCCTCCCTTCTCCAGCATGACTCACAGAGAAGCCATCTCCAGTTTGAACCCAGATTCCATGGGATGACTCCCTAACCTCTATTCTCAAAAATTTTTAGAGTTTTCCCCTCTGATTATTAAAGTAATATAATGTCTTTGATTCGGTTTGGTTTTTGTTTTTTTGATGGTGTTTGTTGTTTTGTTTTGAGGTGGGGTCTTGCTGTGATGCCCACACTGGCCTCAAAAGCCTGGGCTCAAACCATCTTCCTTCCTCAGCCTCCTGAGCAGCAGGAACTCTGGATGGGCCAGATTGGTTGTTTTCTTCTTTTGCAGTACTGATGACTGAACCCAGGGACGCTACCACGGAGCCA